TCTGTCGATGAGGCAGACAGCTTGCAGTTCTCAATGGACTGCGTGTGCCTTTGCAGTCCATTCACTCTTCCTCCAGCTTTGTAACTGAAAGCCGCAGAGAAGTATGGGCATAAGGCTGGAGAAAGCACGTGCAGGAGCCTGATTTTGCCCTCGCGGTCCACTGATCAAGGTTGCAATGCTTTGTAGGCTCCTGTAGAGAAGTATACATACTTTTCTTTTTCTGCATAAATATGTGCATTTAATATTTTTATTTTCCTAAAATGTGAACTTATTCTTTAAATTAGAACTAAAGTCAACAAAATATCTCTGAGACCAAGCACCAGTGGGCTTGGCGAACCGCGTCAGAGAGCATGGCCAGAACAGCGTCTGAGGCCATTCCTCAACATTGGACCCCTGGGGTCGGTTGAGCAGCGTCCATCCCTTCACTTGCATTGGCTTGATACTGTAATCGCTCTGACTCATGCTCCCCTCGTCTCACTTGCCGGTGGGGTGATCTTTTTCCTTCCATCCATAGCTTGGAGAGGCACCACAATGTATACTTTTCGCTATCAATAAAATATCACCCACAAGCCTTTCACTGGTGCTGACATCTTCTACCTGGCTTTTAGGGCTGTCTTGATTGGCTGGTGTGGGATGATGTAATGCATGATTTACCCCAGCATTGAGGTGTGCCCAGAATGTATGGCAAGATACATATGCAGCTCATTGTACATTCTAAAGAAGACTTCAAATACCAGGCAATATAGTATGCCTCTTCTGTAATAACAGTGTGCCTGTTTGCAATTTTTTTCTTTAAATTTTAGTTCTGCTTTAAATGTGTTGCTAGCATAATTTAACCGCTTCCTGTCCGGCCCATGTATATAAACGGCTGGATGGGAGCAGTGCAGGAGTGGGTTGCCGTTCATAAACAGCGCCCGCATTTTCAGCCTGGGAGCGCGCGGCACTACGATCCAGTGCCCGCTGTGTCCGGAAGACACAGCGGAACACCGATCGCTGTACAGAACCTCTGTGTGAGGTCCCGGTTATGTGATCACTGATTGGCCAATCAGTGATCACATGAATAGTAGTAAGCAAGATGTCACTTCTGACATCATTGCTTACTACTTGTGAAATCTGTGAATGATCACAGGTCACGTGGTACAAGGCTATTCACAACAGCCTTGTACCATGTGACAATCTGACCAATCACAGTTCGCACAGTATTTCTCAATGGCTGCAATAATGCAGCCAGAGAGAAGGAGAAATTATTGCGTTTACAGCCTTTATGGGTGTAAAAGCAATCAGTGTAAAAAAAATAAATAAATCTTCATTACCCCCCACCAGTAGTACAGTGTCTCTATGATGACATTGTACTGTTAGGGTAACAGTATGTTAAAAAAAAACAAATAATATAAACAAAAACAATTTAGAAAAATTATAATTTTTGGTTATAAACTAATTTGGGTTTTTTGTTTTTTTTTTTTACTAAAAAGATAGCCGAGTACATTTTGGCCAAGATTTATGAAGAAAGATAATTTATTTGCAAAATGTTATAAGCAAAACACTTTTTTTTTACATTTTTGGACTTTCACTTATATAGCAAAAAAAAAATCCCAGTGGTGAATAAATATTACCAAAATAAAGTTTTATTGGTCTCAAAAAATGCTAACAAATTCATATGGGTACAGTGTTGCATGACCGCGCAATTGTCATTCAAAGTGTGACAGCGCTGAAAGCTGAAAATTGGCCTGGACAGGAAGGAGGTAAAAGTGTCCAGACTTGAAGTGGTTAAAGTGGTTGTAAACCTCAGACATGAAATATGAACAAATCATATCCCTCTATAGTTTGTACTTGTCTCAATTAAGAGCACTAAGTGTCATCTCTGTCTGCTGCCTCACTCCTCTGCTATCAGCATGAATCACTTCTGACAAGTTTTCGGACACCAAGAGAAAAATGGTGACGGGAGGGACCTCCAGCAGATTGACAGCCTCAGCTCTGTTCCTGTGTACTGTGTGGATGAGGTGTGTCCCTTTCCTCCAATCAGCTCTCCTCGATCTCTGCAGTGTGCATTTATTTCTCTCTGCCCCCTTTTCTCTGGACTCTCAGACAAGCTTTACAAATGCAGCACTTTGATCGGATGCAGAGAAACTGCAGATAAACAGGTACAACTGTAGGAGAATTGTTTCACCTCTGTATATTACCTGAGGCCAATCACTTCACTGGGTATATGTGAAGGCTTACTACTACTTTAAGTAAATGACATTGGCTTTAAAACCCAATATAGGGTTTTCTTTCCAACATAAAAAATGTCACGTCACCCTGCAAATGCAGTGAAACATTATCAAACATTTTATAGCTTTTTTTATTACTTTATTTTGTATCATGCTGGGGAACAGAGCTATGAAGGAAGAAAAATAAAACCAGCTGTGTCCTACAAGAATAGCTTTGCTTTCCCTGTGAGCTCTGTAAGCTATTGTTTTAGTAAATCTTAAAAGTCTTTAAATAAAATGCTTTTCTTGTGGGAGGAACAACAAACACAATGAAAACATAACTACAGTGAGTGGCAAAGTGTCTGTCATGCAGACACAAAATTAAAAAAACAAAAAAAAAAACAACATGCTGCCTAGAACCTAGAAAAGGTGTTCAATTGGCTGTGCCACTGGGCACACAGCTGACTATATTTTTATGAAATACTGCTATTTAAATATTCTTCAGCATCAGACCAGGTGTGTCAAGTGCCTGCAATCTGTGGGGTGGAGGAAACACAGAAGGGGACCAGGCATCATCTGACACTCCCAAAAGGTTTAAATGCAGAAAAATTTTCAGCTAGGGGCATTTTGCAAATATAGAGGAGACCAGATGCAGGCAGCGGAAGAGGCAAGCTTTAAAGTGGTTGTAAGACATGAAAATATGAACAAATCATATCCCTTTACAGTGTGTACTTGTCTCAATTAAGAGCACAAACATGTCTGTCTACTGCTTCAATCCTCTGCTATCAGTTCAATCACCCCTGACAAGTTTTCCTGACACCAAGAGAAAAATGGTGACAGGGGAGGGACCTCCAACATATTGACAGCCTCAGCTCTGTTCCTGTGAGCTGTGTGAAGGGGGGTGTGTCTCTTCTCTCCAATCAGCTCTCAGAGCTGTCCTCACTGATCTCTGCAGAGTGTAGTTTCAGCCCCGTTTTTCTGAACTCTTAGACAAGCTTTACAAATTCAGTACTTTGAATGGATGTAGAGCAGACTGTAGATAGACAGGTGATACACAGAGATGAAAATAATCCTCCATAAATTGTTACCTAAGGCCAGTCACTTCACTGGATATATGCAAGGGTTTACAACCACTTTAAGCAGCATTATTTCCAGGGAACATGATTTTTTTTAAATGTTTTATGTCCACATGACAGGGTCACTTTAAACCCCATGCTAGAACACAGTAGGGTTAACCACTGAGATACCATGTCACCTAGCTACAGATAAAGGAGCATCTACCCACAAATTCAAGTCACTCACAAAAGAAGTAGACATCCACAATATGCAAGTGTTTGGCATAACATAATAAAGAGCAACTACAGGCAACAGCTAAACCTCAACTCACTAAGCTACAGACATCATTATTTTCCATAATCAAATGTTATTTTCAACAATGACAGCCAACAAGAGTTTGATTTTTGTCTGCCATCGCGAAGAATAACGGGAACTTCTTTCCAGTAGATATTTGACATTGGAAGTGATGCTGGCAGATTTACTTTGGACATCAGATCAATTAAAGTGATCACATCGAACAATTGCTCATATGAATAAATGTATGTATGACCAGCATTGCTATAACTGTAGAGAAGGGTGGAGGCACTCTGCACATGGAGGACACTAGCCAGAACAGAACAGTAGGATTTCTATGTACCAAATAATTGGTACTCTAATCCTAGGTACACACCTACATTTTTTTTTAATTCAACCCAGCGCAGGGGCGGACTGACAACTCATGGGGCCCCAGGCAATAGGGGATCATGGGGCCACTGTGTCCTTGCCCAAACTCAAAAAACCCTATGAAAAAGGTACCAGGGGCATCTCATGGGTCCCCCTACTGACCCCGGGCCCTCGGGCAGTGCCCAAGTTTTCAAATGGTCAGTCCGCCCCTGACCCACGGGTTGGTCAAGGTCGTCGAACTAACTAAGCAATATTAATGTGACGATCTCCTCCAATGAGCTATTGTGTCCTGACAGGGGGACTGCCTGCAAGCTATCGGCTGTGAGTTCTCTTCAAATGTTGGTTTTCCAGCATACTCGTTCGTCAGAAGCAGATCGTGAAGCAGGGACAAGGAGCTGCACGCACGAGTCGAACGTCGGTTGATTCCTGACGAACTTGTCAGAATGTTTTTGGCCCATGTGTACCAAGCCTAAGGCTCTGGCATTAAACAGTTGAAGGATTAGGAATCCAGTTGAACATCAGAAGGATGGGGCTTAAATCGATCCTGGTGCCAAAATAAGCTTTTGTAAATTAGCCATACCTGTAAAAGACCAGTGTAACTACCATTCCTAATGCCCATGTCAGCGAATGCTGCTCCGATACTTAGAAATCTTATACAGAGCACCGAAGGAAAACTGACACTTCTGGGAGTGTCCATATCCTGGGTCCTCGATCTGATTTCCACTCATTGTTGGATACAGTAATGATGTGAGGTTAGAGGGAGGAACCAGCGATAGTCATGCTTAGGTTGAAAAGAAAAAAGGAGTGAATCTGATTGGCTGCTTTGTAAAGTATACAGACTATTTTGGTAAAAGATACGTTATTTTTTCCAGTTGTTTATAAATTGCACACTCAACGCTCATTTAAAAAATATAATTAAACACAATGCAGGTAATCACAATAAAAAACATGTACAATAAAATACAATAAATGCCGCTTCCTATTCTTAATCCAAGTCCATGATAGGATTATTTATTTTATGATGTAAAATAAATACATTTTATATTACTAAAATCCTTAAGGCAGGAGAGGGTGGTAGGTCAGTTACACGCACTACTGCGAATCAAGCGATAGCGGCAGCATGGTTTCCGTTTGACCACTTTCTTTGTTCAACCGAATGTGCTGAAGCAACTGATCACAATATTCAGGAGTCCTGTGTTTATGCTTTACAGCTTCAATTTCTTGCACTAATAATGAGGGATACACAATACTGGCCTCTTTTAGGACATCTGCAATGCAAACAAAAAGATCGCCATCACTTAAAGTCAAAGTGGTAAACAGTCAATGCATAGCTAATAACGATAAACATGCACTTGAAGTAAAAAAAAAAAAAAAAAAATCTGCCTTCCTGCCCCAATGAAAAGGACAGCCGTCAATATACACATTAGGACAACTTAAAGTGATATTAAAGGGTTGGGTTAAAAAACAAAAACAACATACATGCCATACTTACCTGCTCTGTGCAACAGTTTTGCACAGAGCAGCCCAATTCCCCTCTTCCTTGGTCCCCCAGCTGGTACTCCTGGTCCCTCCCCGCTGCTGAGTACCTCCAGAGCAAGCCGCTTGCTATGTGGGCACTCGTGTGCTCACCCCTGAGCCCCTCCTACAAGACTCACACAGCACAGCTCAGCTTTGCCCCCAACTCCCTGCTCACTGGCTGTTATTGACAACACTGGGAGCCAATGGCGCCCACTGCTGTGTCTCAGCCAATGAGGGGAGAGAGACCCGGCAGAGCCGAGGCTCCTGTGCACAGCACTGGGTCGAGATCAAGTTCAGTATTGGGGGAAGGGGGGGGGAGCTGCACACAGAATATTTTTTCACCTTCATTCATTCTATGCATGAAGGTAAAAAACATTAAGCCTTTACAACCACTTTAGGAAGTAGCCAGGATGACGAGCTGCCAATTGTCAATGATTTCATGTCTATAGGTTCCCACAAATATTGATCAGACGAATTAGAATCTCTGTCCTCTTCTTCCTCCTCTGAACTGATATAAACTTGCATGACCAATTTATGAAGTTATCAATTGTATCTCTGTTTCCACAATGTGATTTCATAATCTGATCACTCAAAATACGATTGTATTCATGAAGTTTCTCAGTGCTGCTATTTGATGCAAAACTATCGATAATATTCCACCCTTGCCTATCAACTAAATTTGATAAAATCTGATCAAAATGGAGTCCAAAAAACGATTGTAAAGGGTGCTTGATTATTTTCAGATTCAACAGTTTTGTTGAAATTGCACATTGATCTTTTTAAAAAAAAAAAAAAATTTGAAGCATGTATGACCATTTTGGTTGTACAATCGGTCTTCAATCTCCTTTAGATTTACTAACAATTATCCAAACAATCCATTAAATTTATATCCAAAAAGAAAGGTCCTCATACTACATAACTGTTGGTATAGCTAAAGAGGATTGTACTATATTAACCCCTTGGCGCCGGCACCTCCCAGCCCTTTAAGGGTTCCAGAAGCCGGGAGGCGGGGCGGGGTTTAGGGTCATGTGACCGCCGTGACACGCTGTCACGTGATCAGGAAAGGTCCCGATCGAAAGAGGAGATCGGGACCTTTCCTTGAGTACTGGACATGTGTCCTGGGAGCGCGCAAGGCGCGTGCTCTCAGCACATGTTCTGTTTTAATAGAACGCAAATGTGCGGCTGCTCAGTGTCCAGGCCCAGACACCGGAAGGCCGCACATTTGTGTTCGGCAGGCGTGAAGAGGTTAAAGAGCACCTGTGACCACCAAAACCATAATGAACTGAAGGCAGCTTTCAGAAAAATGTACATTTTCACTGCATATGCCATCAATGGTGAGCTGACTTTACATTTTACTGCTTTTAGTTTATTATGCTTTTTATAGGCACAGGTGCACTATAAGGCTCTATAAAACCAGCTCCCAACTGTCATTTTTATAGTCTAGACTTGGAAACGAATCAAGGAAGCTTATGTGGTTGCTCTGGGCAACAGGAAATGTCACCTCTAGTGCACTCTTTATATGTCAGATCTAATGTGTTTAAAAACATTATACATACAAAGAGACAAATATCACGCTTGGAAGCTAAATTAGGGCTTGGCGAACCATGGGTCACAAGCTAACAAACTGTATGCACCAGTGCAACCTTACAACTAATCTACATTTCAACAACTAAACTTCTGAACAAATAAAATGATATGGTATACAAGCCGAGTATAAAAGCGCTTGCGTTTTAGTTTAGTATTAAACAAAGTTCTCCTGACTGCCATCTACAGACATTAACCTGACATTACAAGAATGAGCGGCAATGTACTGTACATATACAATTACACAACACATAGAAATAAGGTTTTTAAAACATTAACACACACGGATAGAGATTTAAATGAATTGGATAGTTTTTAATTGACAGTAGATCTTAAAAAAAGAAAAGCAAATTACAAAAAAAATGTTAAACTTTGAAGTAGACCAAGTTCTACTTTCTAAAATAGCCACCTCTTCCTCCTCCAAGTAACCTAATATACAAAGTCGTCAGGGAGGGGCAAGGGTGGACTGACAACTCATGGGGCCCCCGGGCAATAGGGGATCATGGGGCCCCCGTGTCCTCGCCCACACCCAAAAAAGCCTGTAAAAAAGGTACCAGGGGCATCTCATAGGGCCCCCTACTGACCCCGGGCTCAAATGGTCAGTCCGCCCCTGGGGAGGGGAAAGATTTAACCAACTATTTCTTAGGCTTCTTGCACTGAGAAAGATGAATGCTCTTGCTGTCAGCAGCATCCTAGATAAATAGCATCGACAACCCCTGGTAAAAAGTATGGAATCACCATATGGAAAACGTTCAGTCAATTGTTTAAGTGATGTAGCGCTGCTAAATAATAGCTACAAAAAATAAAAGAGTGACATAGCTGAATAAAACGTCCATAATGACTCTGGGCAGACATGAATAGATAGGAATATGTGACCTCCATCACCATTAAAGGGACCGATCCCTGGCTCTGGTTTCACAATCTATTGAAAGCTCAAAGGTGTGTAGCCTCCCTAGCGCTCTGATTATGTCAGTATTTCTGTGCTCAAAGCGGTACATTTTTTTGCATGGAAATATGTTGTTTTTTTTATTGTAGGCCTGTAATTTTTAGGAATAACTCACTGAAATCTGCCCGAACAAGAGTCTAGTAAACATCCCGGGTATGTTAAAATTTGAAACACAAAAATCATAAATTATAGTTTAATAATCATAAAAAATACTATAATAAAAAATACATTTAATTCAATAATATAATCAAACCAAAAACACTGAAATTTGAAATATAGCGCCAAGTTCGCACATCACTGAGCAAAGTCGCAAAATCATTTTCAGTGTCTGATGACGAATTTCCCCACGAATCATTATCACTCAATTCTGCAAGTAGTTCTAATTTACTATCGCTGTTCTCTAGCTGGTCTAAAACCGCTTTTGACCTAAAGGGACGCTTTTTGGACGCCATGGACCTTTCTCAGTTTCCAGGCAGAAAGAACAGTAAAAATGCAGGCAGGGCACAGGACAAAGCACTAGGGACAAAATGTATGTGAAATTGTTTGATACAGTAATGTTTTACTATGTGATTTTAGTGAATTTAGTGAATGTCACTTTTTTACATTTTTAAATTTCCTGCCAGTTCCATCCCCGTACGTCCTGATGTCGCAGGGAACGGAACCCAGATGACAGATGCCGGCATTGGCCAGAGGACATTGCCGGGGACACTGCAGGAGGGACATCGTGGGAGCGCAGGACAAGGTAAGTGAAAAGAGATCCCGGAGCAATGCTGCAGGGTATTCCCGAGTGTAGCTCAGGGTTACCGCTTGTGGTGATGAAACTTTACTCCGAGGTACACTCGGGAATACCTCCAGGGAGGTTAATTACTATCACATGGCTGTGGATTGAAAAAGTGAAGAATCCTTTTGTCTATTTGATATCATAAAGCGCATTTCCATGTGCTCTGAGGTGAGAGTTCTGTGAGCACTGAGGTGGCACTATATGTTATGTGCACTACTTTACTTGATGGTGTTTGGGATATCAGCACAAGAAGAAAACACATGAATTATGGAAGAATCTTTATTACAAATTGATGGATTTTACATATATGGACTCATTATGGACGTTTTATTCAGTCAGTTTTTTATTTTTTTAGCTATTATTTAGCAGCGCTACATCACTTATTTATTTCTTTTTAATTTGCTTTACTATTGTGGGAACACAGTTTGATGTTAGAAGCAGCCACTATCATCACACATTTTTATTTCATTTTTTTCTTTATGCTTGTTGTGCGTTTTGCTGTGGGTTTTTGTTTTCCTCATTATTGAGGGAGTTCAAGGATTTCACTTCTACATTCAATTGTTTAATTGTGGGTAGGAAGAAAAAAAAAAACAAAAAAACAACTAATCACAGACATGCCTCATAACTATTTTTATTTAAGATTCCAACCTTTTGGCTTTAGAAACACTTAAAATAAAAAATAAAACTGTAGTCAGTTGCAACTGTTTTTTTGCAGATCAAGGGAAAAAATATGGAACCACTCAATTCTGAGGAAAATATTAAGGAATGATGAAAAAAACCGCTACAGTACACCAGTAGTTCTTTGTTGCACCACCTCTGGATGTTAGAACAGCTTGAATTCCCTGAGGTATGGATTTAACTACCAACAAACAGTATTCTTCATCACTCCGGCTCCAACTTTCTCTGATTGCAGTTGCTTTGCTTTGCAGGTTGAAGCCATGTCATGGACCATTTTCTTTCATTTCCACCATAGATTTTCTATTGGATTGAGGTCCGGACTATTTGCAGGCCATGCCACTGACATTATATGTCTTTCTTGAAGGAAAATTTTTACGGCTTTTGCCCTATGGCAAAGATGCATTATCGTCCTGAAAAATGATGTCATCATCACCAAACATCATTTCAATTGATGGAATAAGAAAAGTGTCCAACATCTGAAAATAAATTTGAGCATTTATTGAACATTTAAATGACTGTCATCTCCCTCTTCCCCGTTCCTTTACCTGACATGCAACCCCATATCATCAATGATTGTGGGAATTTGCATATTTTCTGCAGGCTGTCGTCTTTATAAATTTTGATTGGAACAGCACCAAACAAAAGTTCCAGCATCATCACAATTCCCAATGCAGATTTGTGATTCATCACTGCATGTCACTTTCATCCAGTCATCCACAGTCCATGATAGCTTTTCTTTAGACCACTGCAACCTTGTTTTCTTCTGTTTACATGTTAATGATGTTTTTTGTTTGGCTTTTCTGTATGTAAATCATTTCCTTTCTGCCTCATTGACTCCAGTTTCTGCCTCATTTGTTTTGTTATGCATTTTCTGTTTTCAAGGCATAATGCTTTAACCCCTTGCCTACAGGGCACTTATACCCCCTTCCTGCCCAGGCCAATTTCCAGCTTTCAGCGCTGTCGCACTTTGAATGACAATTGCACGGTCATGCAACACTGTACCCATATGAAATTTTTATACTTTTTTTGTGACAGATACAGCTTTATTTTGGTGGTATTTAATCACCTCTGGGTTTTTAATTTTTCCTAAACAAACCAAAAACCAGTGAAAATTTTGAAAAAAAAAAAAAGTTTTTTTTCTAGTTTTTGTTATAAAATTTTGTAAATAAGTGATTTTTCTCCTTCACTGATGTACGCTAATGAGGCTGCAGTGATGGGCACTGATAGGCTGCACCGATGGGCATGTCCGCAGTCTCTGGTCATTTCCTGTACTAGGTCTGCAGTCAATTGGTTCAGAATATTTTTTTTCTTGTTTTCCTCCTCTAAAACCTAGGTGTGTCTTATGGCCAGGTACATCTTATGGAGTGAAAAATATGGTTTAGCAGATGTAATTTGATGCAGATGTTTGTTTTAGAACTGCAAAGTACATGGTGATTCCATAATATTTTCCTCAGAATATTTTTTTCCTCTGACTAAAGTTTTCTTTTTTTTTCTTTTTTTGAGTGTTTCTTAAAGCCAGAAGGTTGGAATGTTAAATGAAAATCGTTTTGAGGCATGTCTGTGATTGTATTTTTTGCTACACAATTAAACAGTTGAATGAACATTTTCCAAGAGTGGTGATTCCATACTTTTTGCCAGGGGTTGTAGAAATGATCGGAGGAGAATTCTGCAATTCAGCACCTTAACCAAGATGCCTACATAGGAGCATTGACAGGAAAAACATGCAAAAGAAAAAACAAATGACGGTTGAGGGGAACAAAATGTTTTTCTTGCCAGTGTCTATTTCTCCTGTTGGCAGCAGTATAACCAACAGTCTAAGAATACCAGCTTCACTCAATGGGAAGGAAGGAATTGCATGCTGATCAGCCAGGAAGTCAGTGAGCACCCAACTTTCAGTTTGAGCTGACAACTCAGTGGGGTTGATTTACTAAAAGCAAGTAGAATGTACACTTTGCAAGCTCCAGAGCTTAATAAATGAGGCGAGGGTTCACTTTGCAAAAAAAAAACCCAATTACATAAAAAGAAAATGAAAAAAAAAACAGCGTTTTTATTTGCACATGATTAGATGATGGAAGTCATTTATCAAGCTCTGGAACTGCACAATTTATTTGCCTTTAGTAAATTGACCTCAGTGACTCTGCTGAACTGAAATTAGCCCTGCCTAGTTCTGTTCTCCTGAACTACAGAACAACTTTTCCTCTCATGTCAAAGACATATGAAGTGACAAATAAGTACTGTGAAGGTAAGTATACCTGGGTCGGGAAAGTGAGCTTTAGAAGAAAAAAAAAAAAAAGACTGCCACTTTGTCTGAATGGGCATATCTGAAAGCATCTCTATAGGGCATTGTACTGGCAAGTGTTGGGCTTTCTGCACACATTCCTGCCAAGGACATACCACACAAGCACCCAACAAGAAGTGTCAGATATCAGGGGAAAGTATAGCATGCTATGAGCATTGCATGTGCTTCTTCATCCAGTTCAGGATGGGCCCACACAAATATTTTCTGCTTTAGTAAATCATATAGTAAGCATTTTGTATAATTTATAGCACAGTTCTCTCAGCATAATAAATTCCTGGCATGGAACATACCTAGTACTGTCGTCTGCAGGTTTGAATCAGGGTCATCAAGGTGCACAAGGAGACCTCGATATAAGAATTCCAGGTGAGCCTTATAGGTGGTCCTGTCATACCGGTCATCAATACATTTAAACCACACACTAAATGTTTTGGCAGCTGTGATTCGGACTTCATCTGAAGCATCATCAAGTCGTTTTAATACCTCTGTAAATACCAATTTGAAAGATAAAAAAGAAAATTCATAAACAGAATTTACAGAGAGTTAGCATAATACTTGTTCTTGTAACCTTTACAGATTTTTAAATTAGTCATGAAAATAAAAATCCTAATTTTGCGCAGACCTATGGTAAACTGGCCCCAGGTTAAAATCTGCAAAGCCACCCCCCTCTTGCTGCCCATATGTCTAAAAAAAAAATAAAAAAATTAATTCCTCCTCTAAATACTTACCTTACAACCAAATCCATGTTTCTCCACGAAGCAACAGATGCAGCATGAATTTGCTGCTTCCAACTTAGCAATCAGTCATTGCATCTATCCCACATAGATTCCACTCTTTTGACTTAGTAGGGTCAGTAGAGCATCATCAAAAATAAGAAAAGAGGTGAAAAAGCTGAGATTTTATCCTGGGATTAGGTCCTGTTTTTATCTACAACACCCCTGGATTGCGTATGCAGATAAGGGGTATTTGTAGAGAAAACAAACTGTGCAGATCTGACTGAAGTTGAAATATGCCCTTGCTATAGGTGTAGGCCATTTACATACTTTATAAAGCCTGACTGGAATACTCCCAGGATGTTGCTAAGTGAGGCGTAGTAGTTATTGCTCACCTCCACCATCACAGGAGTGAGCTTTATGTCTGATTCAAACCCCCTTACATGCTCTCTCTCTCCTCCCTGATGAAGCAGCTTTGAGCTCAGCATTTGAAAACGCACTACTGTGATGGTGGAGGTAAGCAGTAATTACTAGACCTCATTTAGCAACGTCCTGGAAGTATTCCAGTCAGGATTCAGTAGTTACGTAAATGGCCTACACCTATAGCAAGGGCATTATTTAACATTAGTCAGAGCTGCAGTTTGTTTTCATCCACACACACCCCTTATCCACATAGACAGGTTTTTTTTGGTAAAGGTGAACTAACCCTTTAATAGATCTACTGTAAATAAGAAATGCACAGTACTACAAGGGCTGTCATACTTTTCCTTGAGAAAAGATTGCTATGGGCTCCGTTAATGCTTATATGATCAAAAGTCTAGGCCTTTTGTCACATGACAACTGTTGAAGAGAGATCAGCCAATCTAAACTCCCCCTCAGCTACATGAATAAATGTCTAGGCTTTTGGGTTATTTTTGACCAACAGTGAAAGAAGCCATGGCAGCATTTCCTTCAGGAAAGGAAAGTCTTTCAGCTGATACCCTTTATTGATCCATTATATAAAGTCTGTTAACACAGCTATATGTGAACATTGAGAATAGTTCCAATTGTTAAGAGTTTGTTTACATTTTTATTTAATGAGCCATGATAGTTCTATAAGCGACACACATCCGGCTACTTGAGTTAAACCAGCCCTAGACTGATTGAAATTTCCTCTGAAGCGGACGCATTTCGATCCATCTGTGGCAGGCTGCTTGTACTGAAGTTTATCTATCGATCGACTTCAGTACAACCAAACTGTCTTTACGTTCAAATCACTGCTGGTGGCTATAGCAGCCAGCAGTGATCCTTGTATTCTGACAGATGGGCAACCTCCTGCTGTCAAAATATAATAGCACAGCAGGATGCATTTCTCCGTCAACAATTACTGTGTTTATGAGGGAATTGAGCAATTTTCTTTTCATTCAATCCATGGTTTAAGAAAAGAAAATTGGATAATGTATGGCCTGCTTTATAGGGGAGGAGGAGAAAATACATTCAAATCATTCAAACATAATTGGGTAAATTTGGCTAGAAGTCAATTAATTGTCCAGAACATTCTTAAGATTGTGGGAGGAAGCCCATGCAGACAAACTTCAAATTACAATTTAATATTGTGGATTACTTTCTTGAAGTGCTAACACATCCAATATATGCCAACAATGAAAAAAAAAAAAAAAGTAAGGTCTAACAGCAGTTCTAAAGTAAGACTGCATTTACAGTAGGTGTGTAATTACAAAAGATAAACAATAATGGGATTTTTGACTTACTTGTAAAATGCCTTTCATGAAATACATCACAGGACACAGGAGAGTTAATTCTCAGACCACTGTGTATTTAAACACAATCCCATTAGGGACAGGCAACAGCACGCAACTGACACCACAACACAACCTCTCAACAAAAGAAAAAGATGAGTAATAGGGCAAGCTATTACAGAGCCACCTGAAAGACCAACATTTGCTGAGACCTGAACATCCATCTGGTAAAATTTTGCAAACAGTGCAGGAGACCAGGTGGCAGCTTTATAGACCTGGTAAACCAAGGCCTGATGCTAAATAGTAGAGAGGTGGTATAATGTGGGCAAAGTCCCTTGTAAACAAATAAACACCTGACCAAGTAAAAGGAAACTAGTTGTCTCTGAAAAGGTACGGTCTCTTAAGAGACCATATGGCCAGGGACCTATCCCAATCCTAACCGAAGGAAGCATAAGACTTGTCCCATGGACAATTTCCTGAGATGACGCTTCCCCTCTTTGCACCAAGAAAGAATGCTTTTCATTGGTAGTGGTAAACCTTATGTGAGGAAGGTTTTCTGGCCTTCAGCAAGGTGGGACCCACTAAACCTGAAAGCCCACCAGGACCTGGACTTCAACAGCCAAGATGTCAAAGCCAGTGATTGTAGGGGCGGGAAACGCATAAATCAGTCTTAACTGATTTTACTGAGTGACTAGGTCATCAACCATGAAGGCTCAATCATTGGCCGGGGACACAAACCTGTCCCGTTTGTGGTAAAGTATGAACTATGTCTGTCATCCCCACTGAAGGCAACCACTCTCCAGGATCTAGCTGTTGGTAGCTTAAGAAGTCCATTTGCCAATTTTCCACACCAGAATATACGGCAGGGTTGGAACATGCAGTTCTGCCAAAGTCAGAATGAGCTTCACTTTACAGACCGTGGTGTATTTACCATGAGGCAAACAAGGCGTTTGCTTGGGTGGCAATTTACAGGGGGGTGGCAGTGGTGGCAGTAGGTGGGGGCTGCAGGAGATGGGCGTTAGTGGCAGATGCGGAGTGGGGAAGGGGCCGTCCAATTTTAGTGTTGCCCAGGGCAGCACAAGAACTAAATGCACCACTGCTTACAGAGAATGGCCTGACTCCTGGTGCCTCCTTGGTGACCTATGTATGTCACTGTTGTGGCATTGTCGGTTTGGATCCCGAATGATTCCCACTGTACAGCGGTCCAGTGCTGAAGCGCAAACCAAATCAACCTGATCTCCAGGACACTGATCGCCAATCCAGGTTTCCTCTCACAACCATGTCCCCTGAACAGTCAAGGAATCTTGGACGTTTGACCAGTTTAACAAGCTGGTGTCCTACCTTGATACCTTTGACACCACTAAGAGAAAAGATTTTCCCCGACTCCAGTGCTGGGCTGAATAGCACTCAGTCCAAGGATAACTTTTGGTGCTTAGTCACATGGGGTGATCCAAAATGCTGGTCCATTTGTACCACGCTGTCAGGATGTTGAGTTGTAAAAGCTTAAATAAAACTGAGCATAAGGGACTGCTTCGAAGGAGGCTACCATCAACTCAGGCATCATCATGCAAAAGTGTATAGAGGGGTGTTCCAGGGAATGCAACTACCATATCTTGAACCAGGTCAGAAGCTTTTCCTGGTTATGATGGATACCCTGGAAGCGTTAGGAATGGGAGATAGAATGAGAGGGTGGATTGGAGAGTTATATAGAGGGCCTACCGCTACCATAATGGTAAATGGAGGAAGATCGGAGTATTTTAAGATGTCAAATGGTACAAGACAGGGATGTCCATTGTTGCCATTGTTATATTTGTTATCACTGGAGCCCTTACTGTCCATGATTAGGAAGAACATAGACATAAAAGGAATAAAGATAGGAGACAGACAACATAAGGTAGTGGCTTATGCGGACGATCTGATGTTTTATGTTGGAAACCCCAGAACATCACTTCCAAATTGCATTGAGGGAGTATGGAGAACTGTCGAACCTGAAAATTAACCCGACAAAGACCGAAATCTTAAACATAAACCTTAAAAAGAGCGAAAAGGAAAAATTACAAGAGGAATTCCCTTTCCTTTGGAGAGACAAAGAATTAAAATATCTAGGAATAAAACTATTAGCCTCAATTAAGAACCTATATAAAGCCAATTATATAGCATTATTAAATGAGATTAAGGAGGAGCTGAGGAGAGTGGGAAATGGAAACCCATCGTGGATATGTCGCATAAACTTGATAAAGATGGTAATTGTCCCCAAAGTATTATACAAATTTCAAATGATCCCAATCAAACTCCCAAAGGCATATTTTAAAGAACTTAGGAAAATGATAATAAAATGTATATGGAGGAATAAAAAGCTTAGAATAGGTTATGAAACGTTGACTAGAAGTAAAGAAAGAGGAGGATTGGGGGTACCAGATTTTAGGAGATATTACAAAGCGGGGATTATCGCGAGAATCTTCGACTGGATACATAATCCGGAGAAAAGTTTGGTTAAAATTGAGATAGCACTGAGTGGAATAAGTTTAAGTAAAAGTATTTGGGTACCTGCACAATATAGGAAATTAGAGGAGAGCACAAGCACGTACACTCTTAATGTTTTAAAAGAATGGGATTTATTACACTACAAAAGGGGTGGGTTTTTAATTCACAATTAATACCACTTAGGAACACAAAATATTTCATCCTGGGTAAGGATAGCATAGCAGGGAAATGGATTATAAAACAGGAGGCACAATTGAGAGATATAATGGTAGGAGAGGAACTCGGGTCATACAAGGATATGGAGGAAAGAAAGGGAGAAGTCTTTAATAAGATGGATAGACCTTACCAACTGAAGTACTTTTTTGAGAGCCTTCCAAAGCCTATAAGAACTAGAAAAGATTGGAATCCATTTGAGTCACGGGGAAATGGTAGACACGGAACAGCAAAAATACACAAGATACTAATGGAACTTGACACCGACACAAAATTAATGCACATAGAGAAATGGGAAAGAGATATGGGAAGAAAAATAGGAGGAGGAGGAGCAGAGGAAAATGCTCACATTACTTCACGAAAATATATTAGTATGAGGGAAGTAGAAATAAATTATAAGTGTTTGAATAGATGGCACATTACCCCTAACGTGGAGCACAAGATGAATACGGAAATTTCACAGATGTGTTGGAGAGGTTGTGGAGAGGTGGGCACGTGGTATCATATGTGGTGGGAGTGTCCAGAAATACAGGTGTTCTGGCGGAGGATAGTTTATTTGATAGGGAAAATTACCAAAATCAGTATAGGATTAGATCCAGAACTATGTCTCCTCCATATCTCAGAACTCTCAGTGAAAGCATATAAGAGTTCGGGGATATGGCATTACTTTACCGCAGCAAAGAGCCTGATACCCAGGTTCTGGAAGAAAAGAGAGGTGCCAACTGAGGAGGATTGGATGGGTAGAGTAAATCAGATTTCTGGGACAGAAAGATTGTACTATACGCCTGAGGACAAGTTGGAGATGTATAATAAAAAATGGAAAGGCTGGGAAGAATCTAGAGAAAAGGTGAAATATATGAAGAGATAATATCCCTGGAAGTGGGTTTAGAATTGGGTTTAGGAATAACAGAATAATATGGAGTTAATGAGAGAAGAGAAAATGTGGAGTGTGGGAGGGAGAGGGGAGGAGGGGAGGGGGGGATGGTAAGAAAAGGAAGTTATATATAAAAAAATTATAGAAGGAGAAAATATGGTTTTGATAATTATTTTAATAGAAATTATGAAATGATCTGTATATGATTTGAAAAATTAATAAATATTTATAAAAAAAAAGAAGCTTTTCCTGGGGAAGGACAACTTGTTTCAGGGCAATGTTATGCAGGACTGGGTCCAGCTTTGCTATTTGCCAGGGTCCAATCACCTGGAAGTAGAGCATAAACCAATGGTTAAAGAATTAACTCTCCTGTGTCCTCTGATGTACAATTAAGAAAGCTGTATTATAAGGAGTGTTCTAATCAAACTGGGACTTTTGAGTTTATATAATAAAAGAACAAAATTTCAAGGAATGCAAACTGCATTTTTTTTTCAACATAATCCCCTGCTACATTTCCACACACTTATCCCAGAGTTTAACTAATGCCTGGAAAGCTTGGGCATAGAAAGATTTGACAGTACATTTGAATCATCCTAGGACAGCCTGCTTTACTTCATCAATAACTATGTTCACCGTTCCCACAGAAAGATTTGTCTCTTGTGCAATTTCAAGACAGGTTATGCATCCATTATCCAGGATCAGGTGTTCCACGTGCTGAATGTTCACAGGAATGACTGCTGTGGGCTGAGAAACACCACGGCCGAGATCGTCACTGACGGACATACAGCCAACTTTGAAACATTTACACCATTCAAAAGGTCTTATTGTGGCTGGGCGTTTCATCACCGTACTATGCTTGAAGTTTTCTGTAGATATCAGCAGGTTTTACGCCTTCATTCACAATAAACTTCATCACACGCTGTTCCATGTATGCACTAACACTGTTGTCTGCCATCTTGAGAAATGGTTTCTGGAGTGGCCCGTGACATGTGCGCTACCTACAGTAAGGCCTGGTTCACATCTGTGCAGGTGGTGCCATCGAGGGACCCGCACAAATACCTGAAGCACCCACACAGAGGAATGCGGGACCTGCAGGCGGGTGCCATTAATCCTAATGGCACGCTGCCCGCACTAGAAATCGCAGCCGTAATGGGAACCTCGATTCCCATGGGGGCTGCGATTTCCCAAGTAGTGCAGGGACTTCTTCCCTGCTTGACCCAGGGCATGGGAATCCATTCAAATGAATGGGCTCTCATGCCTGCACAAACTGTGGCCCGCACGCCGCACATATATGAACCTGGCCTAATAGGACACACTTGCCACTTACTACTGCATGTAGTACTGCCACGCTAGCATCCCTTTTTATACCTGTAAAATTAATAGTCTCAGTTTGACTTGAACACCCTTTGCATATAATGAAAACTAAGCAACAACTATATAACAATGTTAAGTCGGAGCCAAGGCTTTCCTATTTGCATGGGGCATAAGCTTTGTTGACAGCAGAGCTAAAGAGCTGACTTCCCTACAGAGTGTAAGAGTCCTCTACAACATACTGGCAGGATGTAGCTTCATTCAAAATTGGGTTTAAATCCCAATATAAATCAGCTTAATACATTCCAGGAGCATCAAGCAAAAGGTGTTTGATGTCTTTTCGTGTGTTTTTTTCTGGAGCAGCTATAGCCTAAGTGGGAAAACCTGTTATCTGCCAGCATGCTGCAAAATCGCACCCTTGCACTCTGTGGGGAAGCAGTGATCTTTCTGCAGAGGTCTGACATTTCCCCTGCCAAGCCACAGTTAGAGCTCTCCAATCAGCAGAGAGCATGAGCTTTCCTGATTGCAAAGCTATAGGTCTGGAATGCCAAGCTTTTGCAAAGAGACTGATGATTCCCTGCAGACAGCAAAAAATCCCACTCTGCACCTGATAGCAGGCAACAGGCTTTTCTACTCATGCTATACCTGCTTTTGAAAGAAAATGAACTGAAAGATATTGCACACGCCTTTTATTTGGATGCAACTGGAATATATTTATCGGATTTAAAAAGACCCCCCCCCCCCCCCCCGTGACAGCACGCGGAGGATTTTCTCCCCACATCCGCTGTCAGAATTTAAAACAGCACAGCTGTGCAGGGCTCCACCCACATGGCCGCATCATTTATTACAGAGTTCTGTGAATAAACTACAAGTACCATTGGCCACCATGGCCGATGGCTTGTAGCTCTCAGTGAACTACGGGGGTATGGATGAGCTCTCTGTATTTCAGGCAGTACACCCATAGCATGTGGTAGGAGGCTGGAATATTTGTCGTTTTGGGAGTGGAAATCTATTTTATATACCTATTACCAATAAAATTACTGGTTGCACTATGGAGGGTCTCTGCTTGTGTCTTACTATGACCCTGGGAGGAGTTGGCTGCTAAACTGGTGGACGCTGGAGGAGGAAGACATTATCTAGAGAGTGATCCATACTGATAGGATCGTGTGATCCTGAAAGCGTGCTGGCCCCTTGGAGTCTAAGGAAGGAGGTGAGGGGGCATTTTGGCTGTTAAGGATTGTCACGTGTGAACCACGTACACTGCACATAATTTTGCATGAAGAGTGGAGTGTGAAGCTCATCATTAAGCACTGCATCATCAGTATTATTATTATTAATTTTGGACTTTTCTCATATTTGAATTTTCGTTCATCTTTTTGTGCACTTTAAGTGTGGTACCACTGTATTATTATTATTATATATATGATATTTTATTATATATAACATAATTTTTCACTTTTTGCACGAGATATTCCCCATGAGGGAATACATGCATGACACTGTATATGTATTGAGTATCTTGGATTTATTTTGGGGGTGTATTGAGTTTATATTGTATTACGTTTTTATTAGATATTAATTAGCGCTGCACTTATATATATATATATATATATATATATATATACACACTTTTAGCCTCCATGCAAACTAGCATTTTATTAAGCTCCTAGAAGCTATTTATCAGCATTTAATGTCATCAACAGAAAAAGAGGATACGAGAACCTGTCAGAGGACCTGAGAACCAAAATTCTGCTTGATGAAAGATTGCAACGCAGAATAGTCCGGATGGTGGATAAGCAGCCCCAAACATGTTCCAAAGACATTCAAGCTGTCCTGCAGGCTCAGGGAGCATCAGTGTCAGCGCGAACTATCCGTCGACATTAGAAGCTAAATAGTGGTATCCTATGTGTCCATGCACACTACTTTAGGCTATTGGCATTTTTTGAGCTTCAGCATCTAGGCGCAAAAAAAAAAAAAAAAAATAGTTTTTGTAGAGTTTTTACAACAGAAAAAAAAAATGCTAAATGCTCCTAACAGCTGTTTTCAAGCTTTTTTTTTTCCTCTACATGTACTGTAAAAACGCTAATGCTCTTAAATGCTTCTATCACCAGCGGTTTTTATTCAGCATTTTTCAAGCTTAAAAAAAACCGCTAGTGTGCATGGCGCGTAAAACTGAAAGTTCAATTGGGCTTTAACGTTAGTGCAAAAAAAGCTAATGTACATGTTACTGCAAATATAATTTTGACATTCAAATTTAGTTCTATAAGTTCCCACAAAAAATTAATTCCTTTATCCATCTTTAGATTAGTTTGTAGTATTCATATAAGAACACTTGCCGAGGTAGATCTTGTTCAGTTGGTCTGGATTTAAATGGTGTTCACAGGCCTCTAGTAGAGCCCGAATAATACGACAGGACATCAAGCGGCTCATCTTCGAGTCTTCTTCTAAAGTTGTAAGCACCGTGGGCATCAGAATGTCCTGTATCTGGAGAATCTGCAAGACACAAAATGCACGTTACAGAGCGCTTTATGTTACAGTCCACATTTTGTTATGTGGGTGCAGTATTGGTGCCTGTACAAAGCCTGATAGCTGCAAGCATTTCACACAGTGCTTGTAATGATTGAGGGATTTTCTGAGTATATAGTAGAAAGTATGTAAGCCCAAAACGTTCTTACAGTTTTGAAGTGGTGAGGGGTTAGAACCTCTATCAGTTTTTTATTGCTGTGCATGTCAACAATGAATCCTCCTATTTGTCCTAAAGACCATTGTCACTGGGACTGAAAGTGACAGAAAATCTAAAAGTCTGAGTTGTCACAGAGGGGAAATTTTCCAGTGGGGACACGTCTTTTGATGACCACTAAGAATTTCTCTTATTTTGGAGAGATTTCCTCCTATTTAAAGTTGTGTTTATTGGACAACAAAAGAGAAATCGCTTTATTAGGACACAAATGGTGGAAGAAAAACACACAGAAGTTTTTACCATTTCGTACTCTATAAAAAAAAAAAAAAAAACGAGAACAAAAAAAAAGTTTTGACTTCAGAAGGACTTAAGTTGAGTGTTTCTGACTAGCTGCCAAGTGAGTGCCCAAGATCAGGGAGCAGGGAGTGGGAACTGCTGAGGAATTCTGAGTTTAAGGAACTCCATACAACCCCTGAATTTTCCATTCATTCTTACAGAAAAATACAGGAGCAAAGCACAGGATAAGTGTGAGTAAATCAGTCATGAGAGAAAAATGAATGAAGAGATTTCTTCTTAATGCTTTGGCTTCAATGCGGAGTCACTGACCCAGAACAAGTATGCACACAGGTAAAGTCATAGTAATGTCAGATGGTCAGATCAGCACACTTTCTCTGAGTCTGAGTCAGTAACTCTGGGGCAGCACAGTGGCTAAATGGTTAGCACTTCCGCCCGGTAGTACTAGGGTCGCTGGTTCAAATCCCAACCCCAGCACCTCCTGCCTGGAGTTTGCATGTTCTCCCTGTGACTGCGTGGGTTTCCTCCGGGTACTCCGGCTTCCTCCCACACTCCAAAGACATGCTGGTAGGTTAATTGGCTCCTGTCTAAATTGTCCCTAGTATGTGTATGTATGAATGTGAGTTAGGGACCTTAGATTGTACACCCCTTGAGGGTTAGGGACTGATGTGAATGTACAATATATGTATGTCAAGTGCTGCGTAAATTGACGGCGCTATACAAGTACCTGAAATAAATAAATAATAAATAAAACTCAATGCAATTATTCTTTCCTTGCAGGTTTCTTGTCTAATTCCCACAGCTTAAATCTTGGAGGTCAGGAAAGCTCTACTATGTGGTTAACCTCCTTGGCGGTATGATTCTTTCCGATTTTTTGTGCTGAAAGCAGTACCATTTTTTTGCATGGAAATATGTAGTTTTTATTGTAGGCTGTAATTTTTAGGAATAACTCACTGAAATCTGTACGAACAAGAGTCTAGTAAACATTCCGGATATGATAAAACTTGAAACACAAAATCATAAATTATAATTTAATAAATAATCATAAAAAATAATAATATAATAATAAAAATGTAATTCAATAATATAATCAAACCAAAAACACTGAAATTTGAAATACAGAGGCAAATTCGCACATCGCTGAGCAAAGTCGCAAAATCGTTTTCAGTGTCTGATGACGAATTTCCCCACGAATCATTATCACTCAATTCTGCAAGTGGTTCTGATTTACTATCGCTGTTCTAAAACCGCTTTTGACGTAAAGGGACGCTTTTTGGACGCCAGGGACTTTTCTAAGTTTCCAGGCAGAAAGAACAGTCAAAATGCAGGCAGGGAACAGGACAAAGCAGTAGGGACAAAATATATGTGAAATGCATTGAAACAGCAATGACAGCAAAAATGTCATTTTTTTAAAATTTCAAATTTCCCGCCGGTTCCGGCGCCACACGTCCCGACGTCACAGGGACCGGAACACGGAAGCCGGATGCCGGCATCGGCCGGGGACGCTGCAGGGGACACATCGCGGGAGTGAAGGACAAGGTAAGTGCTGCATGGACCCCCTGAGCAACGCCGCATGGTAAGCCCGAGTGTAGCTCGGGTTACCGCTCTTGGTATTGAAATTTTACCCCGAGCTACACTCGGGAAAACCGCTAAGGAGGTTAAAAAGACCCAGTAAGATCTACAGGTGTAAAAAACTATAATTACTGGTAAAATGTTCCTGTGCTCTAGGATCGGACCGGAGTCTCAGGCCAAGCCTGAATTTGAACCTTTGACTTGCATACAAGTTAAAATCATTATGATCACTTAATGGTCTAGTAACAGTTGCTGTGAAGTTGAGGACTTGAATGCACCCTGGGCCCAGAATCCTGGGTTCCCCAATGTGATTGGAAGACAAGTAATTATTATCAGTATTGTAGTGTTGGGTGGAATTCTATATACCAGGATATTACATCACTATACCTCTTGTGGGGAGAGAACTTCACTCTGAAAGAGGACCCAGAGGCAGGACACTGCTATGGTTCGGATGGCTGCTGCTGTCCTCCCAGCTTGCCATTTCAAGTTGGGTACTAAAACGTCCTTTATGAGGGTTTCCGAGTGCACATGGAACTGCCTGTATGTGAAAAAGCACAAATAGAAATCCACTAGTCAAAAAAATTGTTTTTGCTGCTTTTGATCAGTTTTGTGATCTTTATGCATACATGTACTTTAGTAATAAACAAGTAGGATAATGCACTTTGTTCTGGGAAACTAGCTAAAGCATAGTGTGGTGACAGAACACATTGTGGCAAATGCAAACACTAAAACACTTAAAAAAAGTTCACCAAATTAATAAAAATGTCTCATCTTTCAAAAACAAGACACAACATTCAGTAAAACGTGTGTTATTGTGCGAGTAACCCCTTAAAGGGGCTATCCCAAATTCAGCAACAGAATTACTAACTATTGGGATTTCTTTTATGGATCCATGTCATTCTTTTAGCTTTGTGAAGGTATAAAGAAATCCAACTACTTGTATTTGTTTGGATTTTATACCAGGAAGAATGATTTATCTTTTCCTTGCCGATTTGCCAGCAGGGGGCACTTCAACACAATATTCCATCACAGTAGAAAAGCTGCAGAACTAAAATTTTGTTCTGAAAAACTCCAACAGAGCAGTCTGCATGAGCCTGTTTCTTCACAGGTCTAAAATGAGACAAAAATTATGTTTATGGGTACCGCAATTGACAATTTGTATAAATGCAATGCCAAATAGCTAAAGCACTACACTAATTGGAGAACTTTCACAAATATACAGTAACTGTAAATAGTAGAAGGAATGTTTTCATTTTTTGGTCTTGAGTTTTAATTTTACAGCTTTCAGTGATGCAGGCTGATTAAGGCGAACATTTCTCAGCACCTTATACCACACCAGTAAAACACAACACAATCTAACCCTTCTAAATGATGGCAGAGTCATACTGCAAGTAGAGAACCTCCAATAGAGCACTATCACCTACTGCAAACATATTATCACATTTTTCAGATATTAAAGATGAAGTTCAGTCTAATAAAACTGCAGGATTTGATTTCAAACTGAATTAATATAATTAACAATTTTATCCTACTTCCCTGTATCAGAGCCAAGCCTAGCCTGGTCAGCACTCAAATAGAAACAAAAAGTATTTTCTGCCATTTTTAACTCTTAATTGTTCTTTTTTTGGTCCATTAAATATAACATTTAAAATGTTGTGGTATATCTGTTTAAAAAATTACAAAACATTTTTGTTGATCTGGTCTGAAATCTTGTGAGCTTAAGATTTCTGGTGCTCTCTGGCTCTGATGACTGTTGTCAATTCCACTGTTCTCAGCTATCGCTAAAAACCACCACAATACCCATATGTTTTGACAACAGGAGAGGGATGGTGTTTTTGTAATCCAATATTTTATTTCCTTTGTATAGGAGGATTAGGGAGTGTTTACATCCTAGGAGTATATATGTTTATTCCAGAATGACCAGGTGAAGATAAGAAAAAAGCAAACTAATGCAACCACCACATTTAAGGAGTATTAAAGTAGTGTTAAAACCAAAAGGCAAGAAATTTATTGTATTGCAGCTAACCTATTCTTAAATATGATGGCTGAATTCATTTTCTATTTTAGGCTTTCTTCTTTTATTTCACCTGGTGATCTGGTCAGTAAGCTGTCTTGCAGACGCGGAAGTTAGAGGGTTGAGAAAACCATTTAACACAGAGAGGGGAGCTTATAATGATTAGCTGTTATTCATTTATGTTAAAAATCTTTATCCCAAAAGGAACAAAATTGTTGCTGTAACTGCATAAAAAAAGTGTCAGCTGAAGTTTTGGCTTCAATTTGTTAGTGTATCTAAATCTGCTAGTATATCTAACACTCCCTTCTCCCCCAGACTGACAATGCTGCTGTCCAAAGGTGTCTCTGTTGCTCCTTCATTCAGAGTGCAGTCACTCGAATACAGGGAGTGTGTTACTGGCCAGATCAACAGGAGGAAAACAGAGGGAAAAAATGAAAACTGATACAGCCACCACATCTAATGAATTGAAAGCTGCAATATATTACATTTTTGGTTTTGAATTTATTACCACTTAAAGCTACAATAGACTACATAATTGTTTTTGGGTTCAGATACATTTTAAGTGTAGGCGATCAGATAAATACATAAATGAAATACATATTATATACTGTATTTGCCAAAAAAGTGTATGCAGATGAATTTCTCTTATTTTATTCCTTTTGGTCTGTTTAATACACCTTAGTAGCACTTTATTATATTTGCTTCATAAGTGCAAAAAAAAAAAAAATAATAATTATGTTGATCTTGTCAGAAATTCAGATCTGCAAACTTCTCCAAAAAGCCCTCCTGGTTCTTATATTAGACTACAGAATGATTGAGCCTTTATGTTGTAGAGATCTACGAATAGGAGTGGTTGAGTAGGTTAGGAAAAGACTCTGGACAGGGCTGACACCACTCAGTCCACTCAATAGCTGTGTGTTAGCCCACAAGAGCCTAAAAAGGCATACAGTGAAGGAAATAAGTAATTGATCCCCTGCTGATTGTGAATGTTTGCCCACTCACAAAAAAAATCTCCAGACCTTAATCTGATTGAAAATCAGTGGAGTGAACTGAAAGTTCGAGTTGCCAAACGTCAGTCACCAAACCTTAATGACTTGGAGAAGATCTGCCAAGAGGAGTGGGCCAAAATCCCTCCTGAGATGTGTGCAAACCTGGTGGCCAACTACAGAAAACGTCTGACCTCTGTGATTGCCAACAAGGGATTTGCCACCCAAGTACTAAGTCATGTTTTGTGAAGGGGATCAAATACTTATTTCCCTCATGAACATACAAATCAGTGCATAATTTGTTAGCCATGCATTTCTTTTGAATTTTTTGTTGCTATTCTGTCTCTGTTACGATACCTATCATTCGATTTTTAGACTGATCATTTCTTTGTGAGTGGGCAAACATTCAAAATCAGCAGGGGATCAAATACTTATTTCCTTCACTGTAGGGGTTGATTTTCTAAAACTGGAGAGTGCAAAATCTGGTGACGCTGTATATGGTAGCCAATCAGCTTCTAACTTCAGCTCATTCGATGAAGCTCTGACCGAAAAAAAAAAAAACAGGAAGCGGATTGGTTTCTATGCTGAGCTGCACCAGATTTTGCACTCTATGATTTTAGTAAATCAACCCCATAGCCTACCTTTTGGATATATTTATTATCTGCACCCACATTGATGAAAAAAAAAAAAAAGTGCATTTAATAGTTTTTTTTCATTGCTAGTGCAATTCACAAGTCCCTACAAACTATTTCCCTCGTCCCAAGTCTATACAGACGTTACTGTTATGTTGATGGAAGTAAACAATGAACTACAAGTGCAGTGACCTCATCCCACTTGTGCTCTATTGAGAGCTGTGAGTCTCTCTGCCATGATGGCAGTAGTCTTCTGTAGTAGTAGAAGTTGTAGTCTTCTGTTTACAGATCCCTGTGACTGATCTGTGAATGGATAATGTACAGGCACACAGAATTCAAAAGAATAAAGCATGCTGAGGGGAGAAAAAAAAACCCCACACTTCAGATAAGTGGGGTGGTTGGAGGGTGGGGGACTGGGGAATATGACCACGATTCATGTTATTATTTATTTCAGGTACTTATATAGCGCCGTCAATTTACGCAGCGCTTTACATATATATTGTACATTCACATCAGTCCCTAACCCTCAAGGGGTGTACAATCAAAGGTTACACCCTTAACATGGTCTGAAAGGTGAACTTTGCCTTTAAAAAGGTATTGTTTTGTACTTGGAGGGTCTTTAAGGGTTAAAACACAAGAAAACAGGAAAAAAAGTGCATGCATTGCAGATATGTCCTGCATATATTTTTACTTGGACATATGCTTTAGGTATTTTTAATGAATACCTAACTAAATTACATAAAAATCTTTTACATCAGCCTGATCTTATGTTTTAATACGTCTACGGGAAATGTCAATTACTGCTTATACAGCACATATTATACAGTACATACAGTATCTAGTATTATTACCATTATTTGTCCTTTTTAAAAGCATCTTGCTGGAAGGAAATATGCCTAGTTTTCACACATTTACATTTAAACTACTAGGAATGTTTTTTTTCCCATTACCTAGAGGGCCATGAGAAATGGAACATTTTTAAATCCTGATAAAATCAGTTTATGTGTCTTGACAATAATTTATGGTGTACATGTCAAACCCAACCTCACTGGAGACCTACAACTGGTATGGGTGCAATATTACACCCATAACACTTTGTGGGATCCCATCACAGATCAATCTCTTCTGTCGCCTTCAGCTAAATCTTCAGCATAGTCTAAAGCCGTTTGAACAGAGCCAGGGAAAGCATGTCATTAGTGGCAACATTTCTTATTTAACAAAGCCTCTAATGCCAGTACAAATAAGCAGACAATGGGACAAGTCTTTATATATTATAAATTGTATACACTGGCCACAGGCTTTAAAAGGCTATATTAAAGTTATTTTAAAGGTTTACTTTTTTTTTTTCTAAAATAACAAATATGTTATACTTATCTGCTCTGTGCAATGGTTTTGTACAGAGCAGCTCTGATCCCCCTCCTATGGGGTCTCCCAACGGTGTTTCTGGCTACTCCTGCATTCTGAGTGATCCCATAGCAAACCGTTTGCTTTGGGGGCACTTGTGCAGGCTTGATCCCGAGCCACACTGCGTAAGTCTACTGACATACACAGTATGGCTCAGCCCCGCCCCCTGCTCACAGGATCTGACTGACAGAAGCAGGAGCCAATGGCTCCTGCTGCTGCCAATGTGCACTGCACTGGATCGAGATCAGGATTAGGTAAGTATGTGAGGGATGGGAAAGCGTTAAGGTAAAAAAACTTTTACCTTTACAACCATATTAACCATTAACACTACTCTGAAGGATTACTACCGTTGAACACAAACTGTGCTTTGTTCAGTAACAAGTTTTCTTTAATGCCTTCATCCACATTAGCACATACTAACCTTACTTATACTCCTCCATCGCTGCAGCGAGGACAGGTAGCTTGTGTAAGCTCTGAGTTACATCAGTATTTCATATGTAAATACTGTATAATAATAATAATAATAATATGTTCTTCTATAACCTGGAAGTACCAGGTCATTTCTTGGTTGAACGGAGCTCCAGGGATCAAATGATAGGGGTGTATGTGCTTCCAGAGGCAGAGGAATAAAAACAAATTACATTTCCTTACATAGACAAAGCACAGGTTTGCTTTAATATCCGCTGGGCTGGGCTTGCTAATGGCTTAATTTTATTTGGAGATGCTTTGAAATTATTTTCTATTTGGCCCACATGATATGTGTGTTGATAACAAGTGGGTGGAGAGTAACCTGTTCCCTCTAAAGTGGATCATCAACAGCCAAGTTAATTTTACAAATACCCAAACTGGTCAAAGTATGGCAAGCTCTAAATAATGACCGGAAATATTTACAGTCTGTACCATGAATGGTGCTCCTAAGCTAGAAAGAAGTGTACAGGAGATACACTTCCCTCTGGATCACACAAGAAATAGTTCTGTTCATTAATACGGAGGAAAAAACCATTTGTGTGCTTTAAACTTTTTATAAGGCTCGGTTCACACTGATGTGGTGCGGAATTCGCAGCGTTTTCTGTGCGAACTCTGTACCACATCAGAATCGCACCCCGTTCATGCAAACCGCTGCAGGTGTGTATGTTAACACCACCCCGAAATCGGTCTGCAAAATGTGGTGCGATGTGAAGAATCGGATCGCATGGGTGTGAATACCCATGCGATCCGATTCTACTGCGGACCAAAAAAAAGGTCCTGCACCTTCTTGCTGCGGGTGCGGTGCGATTTGAGCCATACAATATGTATGGCTCCAACTGCACCGCACACAATTTGCATGTGACTTGCACAGGAATGCGGTGCAGTTTCTGTGCGAATCACATGCGATATACCGCACAGCATATGTGTGAACCCAACCTTACTCTGATAAAAATAGAATAATTGTGAACAAATAAATTACAAGTTGTCCACAGCACACTATCAGATACTGTGTTTATTTTTTAATCTCATTAACAGCCTGTTTACACTGGAATGCGTGTGTTTTTTTGCATGGCCCATTTTCGATAGCCTATTCATTTCAATGGGCTGCCAAACATGCGGGAATGCATACTGCGGTAACATGCAGCTTGGTGGCTGCAAATGCACCATGTTTGCTAGATGTGGTTTGGGTGCCATTAAGAAATAACTGCACCCACACGCATTTAACAAGGGCAGCGTACAGTGAACACGAACGGAAAAGCACCTTTCCCGCATTACGTTCTGGTGTAAACGAGCCCTAAAATAAATGAAAGCCAGAATCTGTTTGGTTGTTATAGGTATACATTTCCTATTCTCCTTTTTAGTCTTTTAGCTAATTATCTTAAAATTTGTTGGAAGACTGGAATCCCTATATGCCATTCAATCTATTTTTTTTTTTATACAAGCTTTTATATCTACTACGCTTATAAAAATGGAGCAGCATGGTGCCTTAGTGGTTAATACTACCCTGCAGCACTAGGTCCTTGGTTCAAATCCCAACCAGGACTTTACCTTCACGTTTTCCCTGAGCTTGCGTGGATTCTCCTGTTTCATTTTGCACGCCAAAGACATGCTCATTTTTAAACAATCCTAGCATTTAAAGTATGCATGAGAGATGGGGACCTTAGATTTTAATGTGCTAATGGGTAAGTAGTGCCTGAGATCATGGAACTAGTGAGTGCATAGGTAGAGTTAAATAGAATTTGAATCCAGAAATGAAAAAAAAAATTCATATATGGCAGCTTATCAGTCCTTCAATGCGGTTTTCTTTTTTTTTTTTCCAAGTTTTTTTGTCCTTTATTTATACTTGGTGATCCTGCCTGTAACACACTTCTGGCCCTAGGAAGACAATGCTCACTTATCATACTCATCTATAAAGAGGCAATATTGTTACTCTTGGGAAGAACTACAGAACACCTCCACCTTCCCTATTCTCCATTAAAAGGGGGCAGGTGTTTTCAGGTGATAACAGTCAGCATATACAGAGTGCTAAAGAAGATATTAGCTCACCGGATTTTTGTACAGGATCAACAGGCATGTTAGCAGGTATTGCAAACATATAAATAAACCACTTAAAATTTTTTGATATAACATCAAAAGGGTGCAAATAAGAGAGGTTTATTGTCAGGCTTTCCATACATTTTAAAATATAACTAAAGGCAAAAGAGAAAAAAGGGTTAGAACACCTGTCAAGTTTTTACTGCTGACTGTTGCCCTGTTAGGGAGAGTCACCCTCTCTATTCGTCCTGTTTACCGTCATCACCAAGAGTGAAAGTGAAAGAAAATCCCAAATTTCCAGAACAGGAAGAGGGGAAATATATTTCAACAGGGACATTCGTTCCAGCAACAACTAGGTATTCCCTCACTTTGGAGATTTCTGGCTACGGGACAGAAAGTAAAGGGAAATCTCCCCAATAGGATACAGATGGCAAACACACACAAAAAAAAAAAATTGACAGGGGTTATAAAATTCAGTAAAAAATGTTGCCTTAGTTCTACTTTAAGTGTGGAGGATGCTGATAGCAGGTGAGAGCAAAATCAGTAAGACTGCACTGCCCGATCAGCACATTCTTCTGCTAAACTACAGTAGGAAGAAAAAGAGGAAGAGGAGAAAGAAGGGATACAAAGAAGACAGTTGAAGGAAGTTGTATATAAAATATGTATAGGTAAAATAAGTAGTACTTAAGATAAGTGAACTTTATTAGAGTGTCCTTGGTAAACCTCTGCTTCGATAAAGGGTACATTCTTGAGAAACACTGACATACCCATTTCAGCTATGCATTAAGATGTCTGCCTGGAGGTCTGCTTTAATAGACATGCTTGTGCTCGGTGTTCTTTTAGTTACTTAATTAACATTTCTGTGTAGGACTAGGAAAGAACAATACGTCTTTCAAGCATTCCTGTCTGCAATATTGTATGATGAGCGCCCAAAAACTCTATGAATGAGAGCTTATTGTTTTCTACTGTAAAGGAAGTGCTATGGAACTCTACAAACCCTTTTGAGTTGACAGTTTCACTGGGTTTTAGAAGACGTTTTGACAACATGGTGAACACTTTCAGGCGCATTTGAGGATCTTTGCTTGTTTGAAGGCAGGTCTTCAGAACTGGCATTAACTGATCTAGATGCTCTCCAATGACAGGGCCTGAAAAAGACATAACATATTTAGAATAAAATTACTACATCTTATGATGCATACATAGACACCGGGGTCCCCCTAAAGTGATACTGAAGCTAAAAAAGTTTTTTTGCATTAAAGTGGTTGCAAAGGCTCAAGGTTTTATACCTTCATGTATTCTATTGGCTGAGACAGAAGCGGAAGCCATTGGCTCCCACTGCAGTCAATCTCAGCCAGTGAGCCAATGAGAAGAGAGAGGGGGCAGGGCGCTGAGCTGCAGTTCTATGTGTGAATGGACACAAGGAGCAGCAGGCTGCCCTCATAACAAGCGGCTTGCTGTGGAGGCAAAAGACAGGGAGGGAGGGGACAGGAGAGCCGGACCCAAGTAGAGGAGGATCCAGGTAAGTATAGACATGTTTATTTAAAAAAAAATTAAAGAATCACTTTAATGCATTCCTTGTGCAAATGGGAGGATTTTGGGAAAACAAATCCAGCACTGTACACGACAGCATCTCTTCTTCCCTCTATTCCTCCTCACACAGGGACTCAAAACAGCAGCAGGATCCATTGGCTCCTGCTGTTGTCAATCAATTGCATTGAGGAGGAAGTTGGGGGCAGTGAGGAATAAGTCGCACTGTGTATGTCTATGCAGCGTGGTTCCATAGACACACAGCTCGAGATCGAGCAGACAACATGTGCCTCCATAGCAAATGGCCTGCTATGGGGACATATGAAGAAGAGGAGGAGCCAAGATTGCTAACAGGGGACCCGAGAAGAGGAGGATAGGGGGTCGCTCTGTGCAATACCATTGCACAGAGCAGGTGCGTAAACAAGTCTTGTTTTCTAATTTTAAAAAATTATTTGATTTGAGCAACAGTTTAACATGAACTAACCAACATTAATAGATATTTGTTGCAGAAGCTGTAAGTTGGCCACCTGAACTATTGCATTACATCATATTTCTAGTGAGCACATATTTTATGTTAATTATTGTAGTCTATCTTAAGGATTTTTGGTGTAACTATGGCATGGCTTGTATTGAATAGAGATGTGTACACTACCCACTAGAGAGAGCTATGGATTAGCCTTACTCAACTTCCCTGCATTATAGAGGTAACATACGGCATACACCACACTGGGAATGTATTGTATTCAATGAGCCCTCTAACCCAAAGACTTGCATTTTGAGAAAAAGCAGAAAAGCACAATCATCATAAGCACTGCAAGACTAGAAGAAGAATCTGTGTATGTAACAGGAAAATTGGATGCCCCCAGGTCATATGTAAGGCTGAAGTTCAGGCATACAGCTAAATACACACAAAATTCATGTACTGTATGACAGCTGTTTAACCATTTGAGCTACCCCTTCATGACCAGGGCATATTTTGTTATTCAGCACTGTGCTAATTTAACTGGCAATTGCGCGATCATGCAACTGTACCCAAATTATATTTATATAAATTTGTCTTTTGGTGGTATTTGATCACCACATGTTTTTTTTCTTACAAATTTTTTCATAAATTGAGGCCAAAATGTATTCGGTCTTTGCTGAAACAAATTCTAGTAAGTGTATAATTGTTTTTTGCGAAAGTCTTAGCATCTATACGTGATGGTATATATATTGGAATTTACGCAGTTATGGCGCTATACTGCTAATCACGGTGATCAGCAGCTTATTGTGGGACTGTGTTAGTGCTTTTCTGGGAGAAGAAACTGCAACATTGCTCTTCTGTTTGTCAACACAGGACTCTAGGCTGTGATTGGACACAGCCAAATCACCAGGTTTCATTCAAAATCATTGAAATCTGTTGATAAAAATCTCAATGTGACCAATAACAGTGCGGGTCAGCAGAAGGCACGCACATGCACGTGCCCATAGACCCAGAAGAATCCAGTTATGCATATTTACGTGACTGAACCTGCCCATTGCGGTAGTAAATGTACGGTGGCAGGGCAGAAAGAGGTTAATTTGTCAAAAGATTTGTATTTTCTATCCGGCCAGTCTTGGGATTTACACACCACTGCTGTACAGCACAGTTCTGCCTGGCAGGGGAGGGTACCAGATCTTTCTCTGCAGTAGTTGAACTTTCACTTAAAGGTCTCTTCCCAACTTCCACTCTGTGACTGGACAGTGAAGGGAGAAGCAGCAGACTGAGCTCTTCTCTAATTTACTCTGCTCATACCTTCAATCAGCATGCTTCTTGCATTACAACACATCAGACTGGCTCATTGTGCTTTTTCTTCCTACCCATCTCTGAGCTCTGCTGTACAGGGGACTGCAAGAGGCTGAAGTAAAGTAAAATTCAGATATTTGCACTGCTTCCATAAAAATGTAAAGATGTATTAATGATTACAGAGCTGCATTAATTTATGTCCTTTTTATCTACCTAGAGTTCAGCTTTATTTATAAAATATACAGGATTTCCCAAAAGTCTGGAGTCATAAGCATAAATGTATTTAAAAGTTTTATTACAGTAAATGCTCAAATTGATGGCCTCAGACTTCTTGACACGTGTATACATTGAAAACTAGAACATTTAATATTTCTTAATGTAGCAGAACTGATGTTGTAACATGAAGACATGACTTATTGCTTTAGTGCAACAATGGTTCTGGGTTGAATCCGAAAGACTACTGACTTCAGATGACCCCATAGAAAAAAGCTGAGTGGTGTTAGGTCTGGAGATCTATTCGACCTCGACTTCCTATTCACTGGTTTGTAAAAATTTGCTTTAAAAAAAAAAAAAAAATCTCACAGCAATAACAAAGTGTGGTGAGGCACCAACTTGCTGAAACCACATTTTATATTGTTCCGACAAAGGTATGTCATCCATTTGAGGGACAAGAATAGATTGGAACATACAGGAGGTAGGCTTCCCCTATGACATTACGATTACAAAAATACAGCCCAAATTGGGTACATTTCAGAGCAGTAACATACATTGTGCCAGTTAACACTACCACTGAGATAGAATGAGGCAGTTAAATACCATCAATTTCCACTGTTTATGAACCACTCACAATATTCCATACACCTATCTGTGTCATCATGCAATGCCTGAACCATCTGCACTTTAAAGGGATGGAAATTATTTCTAAAGATTCAACTCCTACGGATCCAGACTTTTGGAACATCCTGTATATGTTTTTCTTAACCGAGGGGACTAGTTTACACAAGTGTTAGCCCTCTTAAGAGGAATCCACTTTGGATTGTTCTTCAGAGGGTGTTTGACAGGTGCTGAAAAGGCATTAAGTCACTTGTTTTAACCCCTAAAACTCTGCACCACAACCATATGCATTGAATTGTGTTTGTGGCACTGCCTTATTCAGGTGAATGGGTTGCGTTCGGCGCATGGTACTGTCAGAACTCATTGTTCCTCAAACAATTCTTGAAACGTTTTTTGCAGTGTGGCAGGGCGCTTTATCCTGCTGAAAGAGGCCACTACCATGTTTTTCCATGAAGGGGTGTACATGGTCAGCAACAATGTTTTGCTAGGTGGTATGTGTCAAAGCAACATTCCCATGAATAGCAGAACCAAGGTTTCCCAGCAGAACATTGCCATAAGCATCATACTGCATCTGCCAGCTGGCCTTCTTCCCATACTGCAGCCTGGAACCATCTCTTCGCCAGATAAGTGACACACGCACTCCCGGTCGGCCACATAATGTAAAAGAAATGATTAATCAGACCAGGCTCCTTCTTCCATTGCCCTATTTATGATGCTCACGTGCCCATTGTAGGTGCTTTTGGCTATGAACATGGTTCTGCACAGGCACCCTTGACACAGCTGCAGCTACATATTCCCATAAAACGAAAAACTGAGATGCCCAATTTTTCGGCTTTCAACACTACAACTTCATGGATAACATATTTACTTGCTGCCTAATATATTCCACAGACTTTCAGGTGGCATTATAACAAGTTAAAGTTATTAATTTAACTTGTTGATCCTAATGTTATGGCTGATCGGTGTACAGAATATACAGTTTTGCTAGGTGTCTTTAGTCTAGTAATGTCATGGTTCCTTTCTTTCCAGTAGTGGTTGGGTCAGAATGCTGCAGAGAAAGGTGCCATGGATTGATGTGGCACCACTCTCTTCACAATTATCCTAGAGCCTGTATCTCCTGTATGCATTTTAATGCCCAATTTAAATTCGTACTGGAGAGAGAACAGCTCTTATATTTTGCTCTCTAGTGGCCTGTGTCTCATACCTTTTCTCTGTTCCAGCGCTACACCCCCCTTAAAGTGGTAAACTCCCTTTCTTGTTTTGTACCTACAAGCAAGACTATAAGAAGGCTGACTTGTATCAGTAAATATCTCCTAAACTTGCACCGTTTAGGAGATACGTTTATCTGCAGCAGCCAGTGACGTCACCGACACATGCATACTGTGGTCTAAATGGACAGCGTGTGCTGGAGTGACGTCATCGTGTCTCAGCCATTTAAATAGGTGAGGCCCGTGGACCTGGAAGACAGAATGGGGGCATACTAGCACATTATAAGAGCCTACTGGGGTATCTTTTTATTTATAATGCGGGTTACTACGGCTGTAAGACTTTCCTGATTTTGACACTTCTCGGTCTGTCATAGGCCTGTGTCCTGTGCCATGTCTCCAGTTTCCAACCCATGAGTAACTACCATGTCCTATAGTAACAGTTTGGAGCTTCAAACTACAGCAGGTGGCAGGTGACACAGTCATGAGACACTCTCTTAAGTGTGAAATTCAGAAGACATGGCAGCAATAGAATGAAAGGAAGGTAAGAGACACAGGCTTCTGGAGAGGCAAGGATAAGAGCTGTTCAATTGCAGGGACTTTGTGAAAGTAATGTTTTCAGTCTGACAGGTTTGCTTTATTAGTACATGTACTTTCAGAAAGGCAGGGCTGAAATCAGGCTTCTAAGACAAAGAACATTGGGGGTAATTAGTGAAATTTATCTTCATCTTGTGACTTTTGGGAAACAGTCACTGCATAGCATGGCAGAAACACCGGTATCTGCCCTTGGGCAAAACGGCCAAGGATTCCTAAG